CCTTTGTTGGTTGGGGTTGGGCCACTCTGTTGGTACCACTCCTTAGAAGGAAGGGACATCCCAACATGGATGTTTTCAAACTTGGTCCATTCCATTGACTGACTCATAGATCAATTCTTCCTTTTCTAAGACGCTCCTTTACATGTAATTATGGGTTTAGAATGGTTCTATTGACTTTCTAACTTGGGTCAATCTAAGTCCTCTAACAACCATACATGGGTGGAATCACTAATAATGGACACGAAAATAGACTCATAAAATGGAAGATGGTAAACATTCTAACACAATGTAGACTAAATCTGGACTCCTTAGAACACATTACATATTGTTCGGGGCAGAACTAATCTATGGAAGGAAGGTCATCCTAGGGGGGTCATAACCCCTTCCTGCACCCAGATGCATACTTAGGAGGGGGTTCAACGTTGTAAATGACGTTAGTCAGTGTTTTGGGACGGAGGTTATAATAGTCGCTGTTATTTCTCAACCCTAAACCCTAAATGTATACCTGAACCCTATCCTACGCTGAACATATAAGGCTGAATGCATCATTATCAGAGTCCTAGAGTTTATCCAATTTTTCAGGATTTGTGAACATATTTTCACGGGACAAGTTGTTCTTTTAGGTCTTTAAAACATGCATAACGAGATAGCTATTCATATGGACAAACATTGGACACAACTAACAAATGATCACTGTCATGTACAGATATACGTTAATTGTTCGTTATAAAATGAATCACGATTTGTAAGAATTAAAAAAGCATGTACGTTGTTAGAGGCCTTTTCCTTAGGACATTATTCATCACCCTACTTTTAAGAGGGCCTAGGTTTCTCGATGTCAATAAAATATGCAACATAATAAATTCTATCCTCCCTCTTCTTCTTAGGATAATTAAGGACTTTTCGTTATATTTCTAGAATAAACGTACGAATGGAATACATCTTCTGCTTTCTTTCATCTTGCCAAATGCCCCTTTGCAATCTCTTGAAATAATAGTTTTCCTGGGATATACCTTCTCCTCCGCTAGAGATAGTAACCAATGCCTGTCAAATTTTTCGCATCAGAGGAATTGAAGGATTCATTACTCTTCTTCGTCTCAATTTTTTCCTGACAATTATTTTCACTAACTTTAGACGGTGGTATCGGATCCTCTTTCGGCTGTTCAGATACTGTGTCCTGTTTCTTTCTATTCAGCCACATTGGGAAAGGGAATGTAATCTCCGGTTCCTTGAGGCGAAGACCCCCTTCGGTTACTTTGATACACATCATACTGCACAACTCATTCTTGGTTAGTTTTGGGAGTCGACTTCTTGTCTGGGAATTCCTTGGCTTTCTAGGCTTTTTGGAAGAGATAGTCCTAATTTCTCTTTTCGGACTCATTATTTCCTGCTATTGGGACATTCTAAATAACATTAATTTGGTTAAACCCCTTTTCCTGCAGGGGGGCTACAGATTGTCTTCGTCTTAATTTATTGGAATGACACTAATCAGAGTAAACAATTCCCCTTTTGGTTATTTAATTCTTCCTTTGTCGATGATTAATTGCAATGACATGGAATAGGGTAAACAGTTGTTTTGGGCTACGTGCAAAATATCTTTTCCTCGTTAACTATCTAGAATGACATTAATCGAGTTAAAAAAATTTTTTCCTTGTGTTGCTAAATATTTCCCGACTTATAATTAATTCGAAGTTTATTAAATTGTGGAAACAGTTGTTTTTTGCTGTGTGCAAAATATTGTTCTCTTCGTAATTATTTGGAATGAAGTTGCAAGAGTGCAACATTTGTCGCTGTTGTTGTGTAAAATAACGCACACATTCTAATTATTTGGAGTCACACTAAACGCGTAATTAATTTTTCCTTTCTATTCTCTCCCTTTACTTTTGCACGGTAATTACTCCTAATAAAACGAATGGGGTTGAATTTTCCTTCCGTTTCCATTATGTTAATTATCTTCTTGCCACGGAATTTTTTTTAGGATGTTACGCGATTGAAACATTATTGCGTGTGGGTGCAAAATATTGTTTTCTTTGATAATTATTCAGAATGACACTAAATGGGGGGAACATCCGCTTTGTTCGGATTTGTTTAATTATTTTTCCGCAACCGCATTTTAGGAATCATATTACCCCAGTCAATCATCCCCCTTTGATTGTGTGTGCAAAATGTTGTCTTCTTTGATAATTATTCAGAATGACACTAAATGGGGGGAACATCCGCTTTGTTTGGATTTTCTTAATTATCTTTTCGCTCCCTCATTTTTGGAATCACATTACTCCAGTCAATCATCCCCCTTTGCTTTTGTGTGCAAAACTTGTCCCCGTTTGGTAATTATTCCGAATGAAAGTAAAGGGGTGGAAGATTCTTTCCTTCCCATTTGATCAATTATTTCGTTGCACACACATTTTGGGAATGACATTACACGGGTGAAATGATTTTTCCTTTTCCTGTGTGCTAAATCTTGCCCCATCCTGTAATTATTCTGAATGACACTAAAGGCGTGGAACATTGGGTGGCTTGCCATTTGCTCAATTATTCTCTCGAACAGACATTTTTGGAATGACATTACACTTGTGAAATTATTTTTCCCTTTTCCGTGGGCACAATTCTTCTCCGTCTGTTGATTATTTTGAATCACACTAAAGGGGTGGAACATTGGGCCGCTTGTCACTCTTTCAATTATTGCCTTGTACACACATCTTTGGAATGACATTACACGTGTGAAATTATTTCCCCTTTTCGTTTGGGCAAAATTTGTCCCCGGTTGGTAATTATTCCGAATGACAGTAAAGGGGTGGAATATTTTTTCCTTTGCCATTCGATCAATTATTTCCTTGCACACACATTTTTGGAATGACATTACACGTGTGAAATTATCTTTCCTTTTCTTGTGTGGAAAATTTGTCCCGGTTTCGTAATTATTCGGAATGACAGTAAAGGGGTGGAATATCTTTTCTTCTTCCATTAGCTTAACTATTTCTTTGCCACGTAATTTTCTTAGGAGGCTACGTCATTGAAACATTATTTTATCTGTGTGCAAAATTTGTCCCCGTTTGGTAATTATTCCGAATGACAGTAAAGGGGGGGAATATTCGTTCCTTTTCCATTTGTTCAATTATTTCTTGGCACACACATTTTGGGAATGACTTTATACGTGTTAAATTATTCTTTTTTTCTTTTGGGCAAAATTTTGCCCCCGTCTGGTAATTATTCCGAATGAAACTAAAGGGGTGGAATATTTATTCCTTTCCCATTCGATCAATTACTTGGATCCACACACACCTTGAGGATGACATTACACGTGTGAAACTATTTTCCCTGTTTCTTTGTGCAAAATATTGCCTTCTCTGGTAATTATTCAGAATGACACTAAAGTGGTTGAATATTGGTCCTTTATCCATTCTGCCAATTATTTCCTTGCACACAAATTTCTGCAATGACATTACACGTGTGAAACTACCCTTCTTCTTTTGTGTGCAAGATACTACATCCACCGATAATTATTCTGAAGGATTTTAAAGGAGGTGAACATGCTATTTCTTGGTTGCATTATTATTTCTTTGGCACCCGAATTTACGGAATTAACTTACATGGACGGGAGATTTGTCTGGTCACTTTGGTTGAATTTGGTTGTTTGGGGAATATTTACAATAAGATTAGACTGTCTGATCACGCGCCTCGGCCTCCTTCGTCTCATTTTCCCTTGGAGTTGTCATGATTTATACGCGATTAAATCTGCACAAAACCTTCTTCCAATTTCTGTTCATCATCTTGGCCCCCCGAATTTATTGGAATTAAATTAACCGTATGGTAAATTGCTCCCTTGGGATTAGATTAATTTTCTTTTTCCATGTCGATGAGTGTAATACAATTCATGGAGGCAAACATCATTCTGCCTGTTCCCTGTTTTAATTTTCCTTCGCAAATGATTTTATGGAATAAAATCTTCCGCGCGGAATATTCTTCGCTTCTTTTTTCCTTCCAATTAATTGGCCGCTATGTGAGTGTTCGGAATAAAATTAAACGTAGGAAAAATTTTGACTTCTTTCTTTCTTTATCTATCTTTTGCCCCGTGAAATTTCTTAACAATCTTAAGCGCAGGAAACACTGATTTCTTTTGGTCATCTTAATTTTTCCGACTACTACAATATATGTAATAAAATTAC